AAATATTCTTGTCATCTATGTTTTGGATCACAAATGCCCTTAAACCGTTAGCCTTGCCATTGAAGGTGACATGGCAGTCCAACTAGGTTATATTTGCTTACATGGTCATCCACCTAAACAATCCAGCATTGCAAGATTATTTTTTCGGAAAAATTATTTTTCAGGAAATTTTTATTAAAATACAAAATCAACAATTATTTCGAAAAAATACAAAATTTTCGAAAAAATTATTTATTTCAGAAATTTTTATTAAAATACAAAATCAACACTTATTCCGAAAAAAGAAAAAAAAATTCGAAAATTATTTATTTCGGGAATTTTTATTTAAAATACAAAATTAACACTTATTTTGAAAAAAATAAAAAAATTCCGGAAAAATTATTTAATTCGGAAATTTTTATTAAAATACAAAATCAATACTTATTCCGAAAAAAGTAAAAAATTTCCGAAAAATTTATTTATTTCAGAAATTTTTATTAAAATACAAAATCAACACTTATTCCGAAAAATACAAAATCAACACTTTTTGATTTTGTATTTTAATAAAAAAATTCCGAAATAAATTATTTTTCCGGAATTTTTTTACTTTTTGGAATAAGTGTTGATTTTGTATTTTAATAAAAATTTCTGAAATAAATAATTTTTTCGAAATTTTTTTATTTTTTTCGGAATAAGTGTTGATTTTGTATTTTAATAAAAATTTCCGGAAAAATAATTTTTCCGAAAAAATAATTTTGCCATGCTGGATTGCTTTGGTGGATGGCCATGTAAGCATGCAAATCTAACTCAGTTGGACTGTCATGTCACCTTCAATGACAAGGCTAACGGTTTAAGGGCATTTATGGTCCAAAACATAGACGGCAGAGATATTTTTGGTACCAAAAACATACGAAGGATATTTTTGAGTTATTTCAAATAGTTCAAGGGTACTTTTTGCCCTTTTTCGATAGTAATATATAGTCCGCTCAAAAGTAGAGGGGGTTGGCTTGAGCAACAAGTTGTAGGGTTTCCCCAAATAACGGCATCGTGACTCCAGCATACATATCTAATTGGGATCTATACGCAAATAGAGGGTCATATACATTCTTCTACTAAATAGAAATAGTTTGTTGTGTCTTCTAATACATAATTTTCAAGTCGAAGGTTTAAACTTTGTGTAGATTCCAAATTCTAAGAAAATTTTCCAAAAAGACGTAGTGTATTTGGAGAGCCTAGAGCATGACTTGAGATATTAGTAACGATCATTAATTGAAGTGTACAAGAAATGACTAAATAAAATCAGAATTTTTTTTTGCCTATAGACCAACTCAAATGTGTTCTTAATTTATGCTAAATATAAAATAGAATAGTCTAAAATCCTGAAGAATAAACCAAAAACAAACAAGCACGCACATAGGCTCAAAAACTAAGCATATAGGCAAAAGAATTTCACTTTCCGTTACAACATCATAATTTGAATCATGAGAAGTATTTAAATTTTAAACCAGATGAATAAGATCAACCAAGGATCATATTTTATCACAATATTTCAGATATTTATGGCATATACTCTTTGCACAGGACAATCCTACTATGCATGGTTTTGATATGTTTACGAGTGATTTTTTTTTGTTCGTTATCAAGAAAATGAGCACGTTTTTTTACGAATTATTTATGTTTTATATTCTTACAATTTTGCAGTTATTATGATTGAATTACATTTGTACTTTGCTCATATTTTAACCTATACGCCTTTAGTCTTCTAAATTGTTTTTGAGTCCAATTGAACTATGCCAACAAATTGCAGAGTCATATTTAACTTTTGTAATTTTGCTATTATATGCTTCTTGCTCTTGCATACAAGATTCTATATATATCGAAAAAGATGAAATCAAATATATATTTACCAACAGTCATGTGAGTCATCATTCTACTGAATAATTTTACTTTGTTGCATTCTAGAAGTTACATTATTGGTAATATACTTACTATAAATTGTGATAATATATTTTTACAACATCTGAATCGTTTCAGGAAACTAGAGGAACAAAGCAACAGTAAAGTCTATCATGTTGATGAATGTATCAGTTCTTTCTACTCTTTTCTCTTTATTTAAGTCATATCTTAATTTATTTTCACATCTTATAAATGTCTTTTTGTTGAATTTAAGTTTCATTTATCTAAATTCCATTTTCAAAGGGGAAGAGAAAAAAGAACTCATTATTGTGATAATATGAAAAAAGGACCCTGGTCATCCAAGGAAGATATCAAGCTCTAGGACCTTATAAAAAAAATAAAAGACCGAGTAATTTGAAATAGTACATGGGCACATTTGAGCCTTCTTCCTTAAGTTTATCTTATTTGATCACCTAATTTTTTTATTTAGTAGAAAAATGACTCATTATGCATATTAACTATTTATAATCACGATCAGATTTGAACTCTTAATACTTATCAGTGTTTAAATAAATATTACTTATAGGTGTATATGATGAAGTTGAAGATTTCGTGGCATGTATATTAAAATAGAAAAGGCACAGCTTGAATATTTCACAAAAGAGCAATCAACCTTGAAAAGATAATACCGGAGTCGCAATTAATATTTTTATGACCGAAGCAGATACAGAAAATAAAGTTGATCAAAGAATGCTGCTTCCTGCGTTGTATACCAGGGCAACCAAATGCCAGAAGGGAGATATACCGGAATTTAATTGATAGTATGATGGCTAGAAAAATAGAGTTGGTCGGAGAATATGCCTCAACCAAGAAAGAAAAAAGAAAAAAAATAATTGAATCTTAATGAAGAAACTTGAATTTCTATTTATTCTTTTCATGAATTAATATGTATAATTTGTGATTATTAATAAGTGATATTGTTAAGGAGAAGTAATAATCTATCCGATTACTTCTAGGACTAGGATTTTAATCGGACTCTGATTCATCATATTTCATACACAATATATATGGTCCATTGACGCAAAGAAATCAGAGCAATCATGGGAAATTGGTCAGATCTTCCAAAGGATCTCTTAGCTATAGTTGTTAGCAAGATAACACTGATTGAAGAATTCGTTACCTTTAGGGCTATTTGCTCCACGTGGCGGTCCGCCGCACCTAAGGAGGAGTTCACTGGAACTAGCCAATTACTTCTTTGTCTACTCTACCTTCCTAAACTCATCACTCTTCCCAAAGGCCGTCTTCCACCACTTGCGCCACCGCCCACCACCATCTGCTTCAACACCTCATGATCCAGATCCTCCGACTCTGTATAAAGAGCGTTTCTTCGCATCTAAGGGATGGCTTTTCGCTATTAACAAACACGGAGAGACAAGTCTGTTCCACCTTTTTTCTGGTGCCCAAATAAGTCTACCTCACGTAAGCACACTCCGTTATTGTGTTATCGAAAGACGGAGTGAGATTATGGACTTAATCACTGAAGCCGTCTTGTCATCAAGTCCTAAAACTTCTCCTAATTACGCCTTGATTGTCAATTACCAAGGACGAAATAAATGGCGTTTCTGTAATGGCTTGGCTTATTGGAAACCTGGAAAACATACTTTTACTGAAATAATAAACCACCATTACAACAATCCTAAGCGGCACTGGTGGATTTCCATTACTTGCTACAACGATCAGCTTTATACGATGGATGCCATTGGCATTATTGTAATTTGGGACATGAAAATCAGCAGCAATAATAGTAATGATGATGCTCCAGTTGTGCAATTGGTCGTGGAATCACCCCTGGATTAAGAGTTACTCCGAATTCCTTCATATTTCATGTTTCTAGTCGAATCACACGGGGAAGTATTCATCGTTGGAAAAGCTCGAAACAATGATGTATTTTTGGTTCATCGAATTGATGTTATCAATAAAATATTCGATGAAGTTAAGCATTTTGGGAAACAAAGCGCTCTTTTATGGTCTACGAGCAAATACGTGCTTTTTCATGGAACCTTCTGAGATGCCTGGATGTATACCTAATCGTATATATATGGACTGCATAGGAATTTCGTACTTTGAGTTTCTGAGCGGTTATGGCGTGCACAGAGCTAGACCTGGTATTTTTACCTTTCCAAATAGACCCCTTCTTGCTCTATATCAAGCACCAGCGCCGCTAGACTAGCTAGAATGTCAATTAGTAAGGTACTATATATCTTTCGATTTTTTGTTTACAATGGTGGTGTAAAGGCCAATTTGAGTGCATGATATTATTTCACCGGGTACCTCCTACCTTTCAACCACGACTTTAATATATTCGTCATCTTAAGTCAATCCTTTGTAATAAGATTTGATTTGAGCCAAGCATGATGGTCTGAAATTCTGAATGCTTTCAGTTTTAGCGGAAATTAAGTCATGTACGCGCCTATACCACTGTGTATTGCTATAATTTCTAATACAAGCTTATTGTATTTTATAACAAAGTTTCAGATGTATGAATTGAAAGTGTTTGGTTATACCTTATTCGTGTACTGGAACACAATGTGATTAAAAGAAGACAATAGGAACATCTTAAGAATACTTATTCGTGGAGGTAATAACACGATGCCTATACCTCTGAAACCAAAATGAAACAACATATTTATGAAACAACTAATTTGTGAGAATAGCAATATCACCTTAATCATATCTTAATACATATTGGTGGCCTTTTCGCGTAACTTTCTCAAGATACGATCAAGAGCACGAAAATAAGCATGTCTCCATAATCTCTTAAAAAGCAATGGAGCACATACTCCCCAAAAGCTCAGTGAAAATCCGATTGCCATTGAAATATAAAACCAATCAACTTAATCTTTGTCACTCTCGTCATTTTCATGCTCAAGGTTAGGATTTTTACCACCTGAATTGCAATTCTTCAAGAGTGGAAGCCCGCAGAATTTGTTTCCCTTGAAATTCGAGGGACTAAAGCTTTGAAGTTGAGTGCACACTGGCATCCTTCCTGATAAGTTATTGAACGACAGATTCAAGAAGCTCAGAGTTGACAAACTCGAAAAGCTTTGGGGGATTTGTCGAGAAATTTAATTTTCTGAAAGATCAACGGACTCCAATACTGTCATGTTGCCAATGCCATTTGGAATTCTACCAGAAAAGTGGTTTTTTGAGAAATTAAATGATCTCAATCCTACAAGACTGGTAAAACTTGCGGGGATTTCTCCGGAAAGATTATTATTAGACATATTCATGCTGGTAAACAACGCCAAAATGGTATCATACCGGTACATGTTGCCTTTAGTCGTCACCATTGCGCTCTCTCTCACAACTCCAACATAGTAAGAATAACTTAACTCATCACCATCTTCCAATACCGTTCTTCCTTTGACCATTGCACTGAAATTGCTAATACATCTTGGTATGATTCCGACAAAAGCATTATTTGCAAGGTCTAAGATCTGAAGATCTTTGAGGTAACAAAGTTCTTGAGGCAATACACCATCGAATTTGTTTGACCGAAGGCTAAGGATTATCAATTTTGGAAACCTCGTTCCCAACCATGATGGTAATTGCCCAACAAGCACATTCTCGGCTAAATCTATTTTATGCAATTTTGTGCAATTTTTCAAGGATGAAGAAAACGAACCGTTAAGTCTATTTCTTCTGAAGTCCAAGGATTGCAAATTACTCAAAACCTCCAAGGATTTTGATATGCCTCCAATCAAGTTATTGTCCCTCAAGATTAAAACTATCAACTCTGGCCAATTCATCCAACAATTAAGAATTACTTCTGACAAATCATTTCCCCCAAGATTTAAGATCTCCAATTTATAAGATCCATTCTTTGCTTGACACGAAGTTAGATAAACCTTCTGAAAATGAATTGTTCGAGAGGTCTAGCTCAATGGTTGAAATCCGAGGTAATAAACCGCTAAAATTGTTAGAACTCAAGTACATTATCCAAGGACCTTGTCCAGATGACCAAGAAGATGCTGAGACAATTGGAACCTCACCAACAAATTTGTTGTGAGAAAGATTGAGAAATGTAATTTGAGAAGCTAAGTTCCAAAACCAAGTTGTAACTTCACTTTGTATTCCACCATTTGATATATCCAAATTCACTATCTGTTTCTGAGTCTGGATCCACATGGGAAAGTGAGGAGGCCCTATGTTCCAGCCGCCTATTACAAAGTTGATGGCTTGAAAAGGTGGAATCCAATTTCGACTCACTTTTAAGGTCAGACTATTCGTAGATGCATAGAAATACCTTAATTGCGTCAAGTTAGTGAAATTGCTTTCTGTTACAACACCTTCCAACCTATTATTAAAGATGTATAAGGATTCAAGCATTGAAAGTGAGCCAAGACTTTCTGGAAGATTTCCAGTTAGTTCATTGTCCCGTAGGGTCAAGTATCTCAAGGCAGAACGATTTCCTAAGCCGTTGAAGAACTCAGATACTTCTTCCTCAAACAGATTTTGTGAGAAATAAAGATATTCTAATTTCCGCAACTTTCCATTTACATTTGGTAATTTGCCAGAAAGCATATTATCGGAAAGGTCAATATTAGTTATTGAGCTCAAATTTGAAATTAGACTTGAAACTACTCCCTCTAGATGGTTGTGACCAAGGGAAAGTGATTCTAATTTTTTGCATCCGTAAAGCCAATTTGGGATAGTGGAGTTGAGATTGTTGAATGCAAGATCGAGAAAATTAAGTTTTGTTACATTCCCAACCTTATTCGGTATCACACCTTTAATACCAAGATATTCAAGATTATTTAGATCAAACAACCACTTGGGTAAAAGATAATTGCCCGTAGCCATAAAGGTTACGAGAGAAGTCAGGTTAACAGGAACTTTAGGAAAACGGCCAATAAAATTACTAATGTGTCAAAGAAAAATTATGATGAAGTAGAGGTGGTATATGATGAAGATTACACTCAGATAAACTAAGATGAAGCAGAGAAGGAAGATTGGTAATGATCTGTAGCCAGTTAGTTGCTTTTCTAAGATCCACATAATCCATCTCCAGGTTCTCAAGATTCAAAAGACTTGGCAGCCATGGAATTAGGCTATTGATCCTTAGATCAGTATGTTCGTAAAAATGCCCATGCATGTGTAGCTCAATCACATGACGAGTTAGATTGTGGCACACAACTCCTTCCCATTCACAACAATCTTTTCCAACAACCCAAGAAGAGAGAATAAATGTAGGATCATATACTTCTTTCTTCAGTCTCTCCAAACGCTTCTTGCTCATTTTCTATGCAAATCCCTGCACAAACAGTACTAAACTTGGTGAATATTGCTAAAGTGAAAAACAAGAAAACAATCCAGAGTGCTTTTGCTAGCATTTTCATAATGTGCAAAGCTTTAGACTAGGAATTGAAAAGTGTGTGTGAATTGGCTGTTTGCTTATATTTTTGCTAGGCCAGACAAGACGTATAAATAACTATTAAGAACTGTAGTTGAAGAATGCTTAGTTTTAGAAAGATGACTGACTGTTTGACTCAGAAGACTTGTTGATTTTAAAACTTTCTTTTTTCCTTTTAAACTATGCATTAAAAAAAATTATAATTGACGGAACTTAATTTCTTGCTTAGTCCAGGGGACTCTAGCAAGTTTTCTCCGTAAGAAGAAGAATGTTAGCGAGAATGAAACTCAAAGAAATTGTCGGGGTCACCCACAAGCGTGGAAGACAACACAGATAGAGGTTGAGGTATCAAATGTGTAAAAAAAAACTGTCACATTAACGACGAAGATAAATTCTTCCGACCAAAAAAAGAGATTTAATCGAGTAAAAAAGAGAAGTATATGGCATATAATGGACTATTGTTCATACATTTTAAAATATTTTAGAATGAAAAAAGTGTCACATAAACTAAAATTGAGATAACATATATTTTCTTTGTTCCAATTTGTATGGTAATTTGCAGATTTCGAGAGTTAAATGATCAGTTAGAGCTCGTATAAAGAATCTGTAAGTTTTTAAAAATAAAATATACATTTTGAAAACTACTACATAAAAAGTACTATAAGTTACAATAATTTTTAATTTAAAATGCATACAAAAAATTACTAAAAACTCGTTTGAAATACGAGAACTACCACATAAATCGGGACGAATAGAGTATTAGTTTTCTTTGTTCAAGAAATAGTAATCTTCAAGGGGATATAACAAAGTCATATACCTAATGCTATATGAAAAAGATAATTAGACGACAATTTGTCATATACTCCTATAATTAGGGCATTATATCATAAAAGTAAAAATATTATCCGGATATTTACACCAAAACGTGCTCACTTACTATGGTAAAGTCGTAAAATGAGGTGAGAATATGAATTAATTAACAATGTTTCAGTAACGAGAGTGTATAATAAGACATGTAACATGCGAAATCTTTACTGTCTTTTTAAAAGTATTCTTGGCCCATCAATCCCTCTCGTGACTTCAAGTATCGCCCTCTCCTTCAAATTCAGTTGGTCAAAGAACTGTGGTGCCGCGTCCTCTTCACGTACAAATAATTTGTTTCTATTTGGTTAAATTCAGGGACGGATGTAGCTATCGACCATCAGTGCGTAGCCAAGATTTTTATTAAGGGGAGTCAAAATATAAAGAAATAAACTCACCAATAAGTTAAATGGTGTCTTTATATAGTATATATACATTTTTTTTAATTATATCCAACATCCATTTTGGAACCCCTCTCTTCTCTCTCATCAAGTCTTCTCCCTAACGGCTCTATTTCAAGCGAGTTTGGACCACGCTCCACCAGATGGAGCCGCCGGGAGGCCTCCAACCGGCGTGTCTGGACAAGCATAATCAGTCTAAAGGGGAGATTTCTCACATGCAAGGAAATCCCTCAGGAAAACTCTCATATGCGGATAAAATTTCATCTCCACCAAGTCCATCTCCGGTTGACATTAAACAAGAGAAAGAGAAAGTGAAAGCTAGACACACAACTCACAATGGTATGCCTTATGTCATCTTCAAAGCTTCTGATTACTATGGGATTATGGACGAGTCTTGTAAATTTACTATTGTGGGTCGATTTCTTAGACCTCGTCCCCAAATCGACGGAATTATGTCAAGATTCAAAGAAATTGTTCCTCTAAAAGGGTCAGTAAGAATTGGGGTTTTTGATAATCATAATGTTTTTATTGATCTATTCAATGAGAAAGATTGGAAAACTGTTTGGTTCCGGCGAGTCATCGAAATTGACGGAATGCAAATGTGGTTGCAAAAATGGTCTCCAGATTTCAAACCAGAGGAGGATCTACCGGTGGCCCCTGCATGGGTCCTATTACCAGGTTTGCCCTTCTATATGCATGATTGGCATTACATAAAACAACTTCTAAGCTCAGTCGGTACTCCTCTAGCTTTGGATGCTGCAACAATGGGAAGAACAAGGCCAAGCATGGCTAAAATCCGAGTAAAAGTGGATCTGCTTAAGCCACTGCCTCAAAGTATTTTTGTTGGACAAGAGTACGAAGATTCGCCTCTCAAAGGTTACACTCAAAAGCTGGAATACGAAGGGGTCCCAAAATATTGCAAACATTGTAGGAAAATTGGTCATTACATGATCAATTGTAGGGCACTTGAAAAAAAGAAAGCTGAAAATAAAGAAGAAGATGAAGAACAGAATCAGGAAAAGGATCCTCAGCTATCCACAGGACCAGAGGAAAGCAATCAAGCAAACAATAGTAATGAAGAAGTCCAAAAATCACTGAACTTGGAGACCATTCAAAATCAACAAACTGAAGATGCCAAATTTAAAAACAAAAAAGATAGCAGGAAGAAGACCAAGAAAAAGAAGACTAAGAAAATGCAAAAAAAGAAGAGCAAAGTGTTATTCAAACCGGCCAACAGCAAAAGAAAAGATAAGACTGACTCTGCAGCAAAACAAAATGAATTCACAAAGCAATCCATAGAAGAAAGTATTCTAAGTCTTGTTACAAAAGACAAAACCTTTCAGCAGGATCGGGGTGTTGAGATTAACAACAATGAAATCACTTCAGAAGAAAACGAGCTTAATCCAGGAATGGAGCAACAAATTCAGAATAGCCTTAGACAAATCAGTCAAGAAAACAGAATTGAGGGAATAGAAAATCTGGGATAGTGTTGTGATTCCAGTTCATCTATTGTTCCTATGGAGATAAGGAATCAACCTGGGCTTCAATTGGTTGTGGACTTATATGAGAACAAGGAATATTGCAACAACATTAATCAAGAGAATGATATCTCGGATAGTCTTCAAGAAGCTAAGCAATCGAACAATCAGAAGGATATGAGAAAGGAAGATCAAGATTCTCACACTCATACTGAAGATCAACAACAAAATACTAGAAGAGGAAGAAGTGAAACCAGGAAATGTGGCAAAAGACACATGCACAAGACTCAACCTTTTTTGAGAAGGAATCAAAAGGAGGACATCACCCCTAATTGTCTCAATGATTAGTGCCCTATTTTGGAACATTAGGGGAGTTAGATCCAAAAAAGCCATTCACATGCTAAAGAAATTGATCAACCTCAACAACACTCAATATGTGGCTATCTTTGAACCTTTTATTTCAAAAGAAAAATTAGATGGTTACAGGAAATTTTTAGAATTTCAACACTGCTGTTTCAACAACAATGGTCAAATTTGATATTTTTGGAATGCCTTCAGCCTCGCCAAGGTTACTGCCATCAGTGATCAACACATAACTATCAAAATGTACAATGCTTTTGGTATGCAAGATATTTGCATTACTGCTATCTATGTTAAATGCAAATCCAAAGACAGGAGGGACCTTTGGCACTCTCTTGAACAGGATAATATGGTGATTGATATTCCTTGGTGCATAGGGGGGGATTTCAATATTATTATGGATCCTAATGAAAAACTTGGGATAAGCCTCACAGAATGTATAGAAGCTTGGAGTTTCAAACATGTATGAACAATTGTGGACTTATTGATATTGGTTACAATGGTTCTAACTACACTTGGTGTAATAACAGAAGACCTAGAAAAAGAATTTGGAAAAGATTAGACAGGATCTTTATTTATGACCTCTGGGATCAATTATTTCAAAGATGTTCTGTTAGGCATCTTGCAAGGACAGGATCAGATCACAGACCTCTTCTAATGAAGAACTTGGTTGGTAATCAACAGCACATTAATTATTTTAGACTTCTGAACTGCTGGATGAAATAAGAAAGTTTTTATGACATTGTCAAGGAGGCCTGGAATACTGAAGTGTTTGGGAATCCTATGTGGATCCTTCAATACAAGCTCAAGGCTCTTAGTAAAAGGTTTTCTCAATGGTCTAGGAATGATATTGGGGATATCAATGAAGCTGTTATCAATTGGAAGGATAAACTCCAAGAGTTAGAGGATATTGATGTTGAAAATAATTCGGAAAAGAGTAGAGAATATATCAACAAGGCTCATGCTCAATATATTAGATGGCTTAGTCTTCAAGAATCTATGCTCAGACAAAAATCTCAGGTAAAGTGGTTTGAAGAGGGGGAAAAGAATACTAGATATTTTCACTCAATCCTCAGAGAGAAAAAGAAGAAGGCAACAAATCAATCGCATCAAAAACAGTAAGGAAAAGTGGATCAAGGGGTATGAGAAGATAGCCAGAAAAACAGTTAATCATTTTCATACAATTTTCAACCTTACTCCTCCTACGATCAACAATTCAATTCTGGATTGTATTCCTTATTGTATCTCAAATGATGACAACAACATGCTGAGCAAGATTCTAGAGAAAAATAAAATCAAGGATGCAGTTTTTAGTCTTAGTCCTCATAGTACTGCAGGTCCAGATGGCTTTAATGGCACTTTCTTTCAGAATTGGTGGGACATAATCCAAAGGGAAGTTATTGCTTTTGTAAAAGAGTTCTTTAAAGGAAAAGGTTTGACAAAATTCTACTCTCATACTTGTTTAGTTTTAATTCCTAAAGTTGACAATTCTGTTACTTTTGCTGACTTTAGACCTATTAGCTTATCAAATTTTACTAATAAGGTTATTTCAAAAGTTATTTCACTTAGAGTAAACACTTTGTTGCATAAATTAGTCTCCCTGAACCAAAGTGGCTTTGTTAAAGATAGGTTAATTTATGAGAATGTTCTGTTATTCACAATATTACTCATAAAAATAATGGTAGCAATGTAGTTATTAAACTTGACATGGCTAAAGCTTATGATAGAATATCTTGGGAATTTATCTATGCTGTCCTTAGTAAATTTGGCTTCTCTAATAATTGGA